ACACTTTGAATGTGCAATTTTTGTCTTACTGAAATATATATATATATATATATATATATATATATATATATAAAAATCATATGTATAAAAAACGATACCAACCATTGTACGTATAACAGTGAACGAACAAACATAATATGAAATATATATATATAAGCTAATAGGCTAATGGATAATAAGCTTTTTAAGATAATTAATTTTTTTTAAAAAACTACACTGACTTAGCTTCTTAGTATTCCACCCGTGATGATGATGTTCTCCTGACCGATTCCGGCCACGGCGGCCAATCTCATTGAGACTAGCCAACTGCGCAGGAGATATTATAGTGCTCAAGTGTACGCGCAAACACAAGTGCACTCTCTATTCCTGTCACTCTCATACTCCGGTGGGACGACTGCTCGACACGACCAGTGAGAGTTAAGGCGCAGGACCGACGGCTTTACGTGCTCTCCGAGGCACGGGGGTGAAACACCGCCAACTTCCCAACTCCGGGCTATTACTGAGGCTTACTATACAGCAAGACTCAGTAACTAAACTTGGCCCGACCCGGGACTCGAACCCAGGACCTCCGGGTGTGCAGCCGTACATGCTAGCCACTACACCACCGAGGCAGTTCCACCCGTAGGGGTGGAGTTTTTAATATATCTACCTGTACATTAAATATTTTTTGGAAAATCTTATTTTAATAGTCATTATTATCGATACAGAGACACAAAAGACAGAAACTATAGTTTTTAGAAGTTTTGTCTGTCTGTCTGTGACCGCATCACGAGAAAACCACTTGACAGATATTGATGAAATTTGGTATGATAATAGCTGGTTATCCGGGTTATCTATGTGTTGATATAGGATACTTTTTACTGCGGAAAAATACCTCATCTTTGAGAAATCTATACTAAACGTTAAAACGCAACCCAAGCGGAGTGAGGGTGAGTCGCTCGTAGTTTATAAATAACGCATAGCATTTCTTTGAAGATGGTCAAAAATATAAACATTCCGTTGTCACTGTTCAAAAAATCGTAAAGACAAATAGTGAAAATTGTAAGCAATATTTTTGTTCTTTCATACATACGACGAGTATCAGTATTTAAAGCTCACATCTAACTATAAAATGTGTTTTCACACGTTTTTGCATACCGCTACAAGCCGACGCGACGGCGCGGCGCAACTGTTATTGCTAACTATCCATGTCAAGTTTGTTGTTAGCGAATATAGAAAAATATACGTTTTGGTCACTGCCATTGTATGAAAGTCGAAAGGAAACTAAAATTTGATAATGTAACCGTCTCCAATTACGCTGTTAGACACCGTTTTGCATTTGCTTTAAAAAAACTTTAATAATCAAATTTTAATTGTTTTTTTTTGATAAAAAGATAATGGTTTTTTTATTTCTATTGTAAAATAGAAAAAAAAAAAATACTTTGCTCTTCAATTATTCTCAGTACGCAGAATACTACAGAGTTATTTTTCTAAACAGACGGAGAGACATGTGTATGCGAGAGCGATCCCGTGGCGTCCCACATGGCGGATGGGGGGAAAGTTGGGTTTTAGTAAAAAAAAAAAAATGTGTGGTTAATACAATTTTAACTACACAATGCATAAGAGAGAATCGAACTCGTAAATTGTGACATAGTAGCTTGAGCCCCATCAGATGAAACATCAGAAAAACTCAATGTACGGTAATGGCGTGTAAACACGCCCATTGCTTTCTTCTTAAATGAAAGAACTCCCAGTCAATAAGCATATTCCATGAAAAACTAAACAAACATTAAACACTCAAATAAAATGCATACCAAATAAATTACTATACTTATGTACTAGCGTTACTTTTAAGGTTTAGTATACATTTCTCAGAGATGAGATATTTTCCCGCAGTAAAAAGTATCCTATATGTTGACCCGGATAACCAGTTATCATCATAAAAAATTTCATCAAAATCTCTCCAGTGGTTTTTCCGTGATGCAGTCACAGACAGACAGATAGACAAAAATTCTAAAAACATAGATTCGGCCTGTGTATCGATAATATTTCGATTTTCCAAAAAATATTTAATGCACAGCTTCGAATTAGTTAGAATTTTATCTTATGTATAGATATAGATAAATATTATAAAATATTTCTTATTAAATATTTCTAAATTTTCATACTATTGGTAGAACTGAATAAGCTCAATGACAGCATTCATGTACATAGTAGTGAGTAATAAAAAATTAATCAAGAAAGAAAGTGTTAAAATATTAATTAAAAATATTACTATGAAGTCACGTGATATAATTTATTTTCGAATAAAAAATATACATACGATTCCGCGTAAACGTTCATTAGAAGATCGACTTTCTATGTCACTTTAGATTTTTTTACGGTTTCCGAACGAGAAATGTGCGTGAGAATGTTATTTTTATTGGAAAATTTACTTCACTTATATTTACTAATTACTTACTGGTAATATGAAATGAATTTCTATTACTAATAAAAAAATACTCATAAAATTATGTCTGTATGTATATCATATAAACTACCTCAAATTTTTTTTTTCAATTATATTTAATTTAATATAATAAAATATATTTATCCGTGTATGATTAGCTTTCTTTAATTTTATAATTAACACAAAAATTATTTATTTATACACTACACTTTACAGTCCACTTATGCACTATAATAATCTATCACTATTGTGTAATAAATTTAAAACTATAAAACTATCACTATATTTTAAAAAAAGAACTATTTATAATTTTTTTGGAGCTGTCAAATTATTTTTTCGCGCGTGCGTTTCAAGCAAAGGTCGCGGTTAGACTGCCTATCGCAAAGATAATGTAAAGCCTTAATTGGTAATGCTACATTACATCGTATGTATTGCCTTGTATGTATTGGATTTACATAATAATGAAAGCGTTCACGTACTATTTCTATGCTCCTTTGGCTTTATTAAGTTATGAATAAAAATAGATTTACACTGACGTATGTGTGTACCTATATAATCGTTTTAACGATGCCGTAACATTACGTTAGTTAGCCTTAGAAAAAATAGTTATTTTAACGTAATAAGCGCTAAATGATGCTTAAATAATAACATATTCGGTAAAACAATTTATTTAAAAAAATAATTTATTGTTGATTTTTTTTAAAACCGCTCGACCGATTTTGATAAAATTTATATGGGACCATCTGGGAAGTTTATACCCTTTGAAACAAAAAAAAATCCAAATCGGTTCAGGCGTCTTCGAGTAATCGGTGAACATACATAAAAAAAAAGATTCCGACGAATTGAGAAACGCTTCCTTTTTGGAAGTCGGTTAATTAAATTAAGACGCTCATAAATGTTTATTACTTATCTGTAATATTACGTAAAAATTTTCATTCTCTATATAAATAAAAATTAAATGCTTTTCGTTGGTAATCGCCAGACTCGAGGCTTGTACCGATTTAGTTGTTCAAATAATTATTTTCAATATTTCTAATAGTCTCAATTAAGGTTTTAGGGAAACGATAGGGAAAGAATACACTTTACAATTATAAGATACGAATAAAATGTCGTTAGCTTCATTTTTAACATATGTATTGAGCAATAAAAAACAATAATAAAAGCAAAATAAGAGCGCTGCCTTATAAAACTAAATAACAGGGTATAAGAAATAAAATAATCATTTCGATAATTAATATTGGCTATTAATGTTTTATCAGTAATCGATAAGATAATTCTAAACGATTATAGCTTTTTGATAGCAATCCATATACTTGTACAATTATAATGTCAATCGATTTTATGTTTATAACTAGCAGAACCCGCAGATTCGTTCGCACTAAAACTACAAAAAAAAAAACTCTGAAAAGGTAGGTTTCATACAAACTCTCATCCCCTATTTGACCCCCATTTTTCGTTAATTCTTGATTTCAGAAAAATGCTTAAACACATATTTATTAATTGTATTATTAATATAATAAGAGCATTAATACTAAGTCTCTACATTGTTTTTATAAGGAATTTTCATAACAAAGTTTCCTCAGCTGTCAAGCGAGTACAGTTTATTTTCTTATAATATAAAAATTATGAATATTTTATTATACATAAATAAAAAATAATATAAAATATCAAATCGTAATCTATACTAATATTATAAAGAGACAGAGTTTGTTTGGTTCAAACACGCTATTATCTCAGGAACTACTAATCCGTTATAAAAAATATTTTTACATTAGATAGTCCGTTTATTGAAGAAGGCTATAGGCTATATATCATCCAGGGAAAATGTACGCTTCCCGGTGGAAAAGAGTTATTTTTGTCTAAGTTAGTTACATAGTTAAGTTTTGTCGCTAGTTACAGATATTTCCTTATAATTTACATATTAACAAAGGTAAAAGTTCTTTTTATCAGAATAACATGGCTGTAAAAGTCTATATATATACTATAAACAGTATTCCAAATATCATTTTATCCTTACAGCGCCATCTATTACGAGCTGTATACACTAATAGTTAATACTTATATACATAAGTAGTGTCAGTACCGACTCATAGATGTCGCTTGTAGTATAAAAACCGATAAAAAACTTACGTTATCGGTTATTACAATAAAATTACAGATTACACACTGTTAAATTAAAAAAAATATTTAAGTTTATCGTATTTATTTGTAATTAAAATCAGTATTACATTTTTTTAGTATTTAAAAGTTTGAGTTTCGTTTGCCCAATCGTTTAGATTGAGTATAAAAATGCAAATCTTAGACATTTTTTAATGAAAATTTTACTATGAAAATCAGCTTTCCCACATGTAAAACCACTAAAAACTAAGCCACCCAAACTCCAGTATCACAGCGAGACTTAAAACTCCCAAATATGGCTTGCTACTAAGATATTTTTGAAAGAAGGACCTTAACATTTAACGTTTGACATTTTCAACTCTACCCCGGAATGGAGCCCTGGACCTAAAAAAAATTATGCCAATACTAGCTACAAGATCAATGAGGCAGATTAAACTTTAAAAAAATAACTTACATTGTCAGCCTTGTCCGTGGGTGGAGACGCAGGCGGACTGCGAGGCAGACCCAAGTCCTCATCATCGTCACTGTCACCTCGGCCACGTCTCCGTACCGCCGCTACTAACTCCGCCTGAGGATCAAAAATTAAATTGTTTTTAAACGAAATAACTAACTTTGCGACATTATAAAATTATAAATATTTATATTAAAAAAGTAGATTGGGTTAAAGCCGTGGTAACACGCTCGCTTGGAAATCCAATGAAGCGGGTTCATATCCCGAGTCTCGCACCTCTGATATACTCATGTTCTTTTCAACATGCTTACCAATAGGAAAATATTGTGAGGGTAACTGAACCAGTTATGTAGGTTTCCTCTATTTTAAAACAGTTTCGCTGGTGTATATTTTATATATATTATTATGTATACATATAAGTCACTTTTAAAGTATTTGGTACATAAAGCTTTTTATATAGAAAATACACAAGTTTTTTAAGCATATTGGGTGTTGGCTAAGTTTGATTTGTATATTGATAAATCATATTATCTATAATATACAGTCGTATCAGTTTACTTAAGACTAAAAAACATACATACACTATCGATATTATCAACAAAAAAATCGATAAATAATACTGATAAGTAACTAAAGGTTATTAGATCATAGTTTTATATGAAAAAAAGTAATTTATTGGCATTTAATAGTATAAAAATATCACTCCAACAATATAAGGATGAAACTTTTTGTTGGTACTTCACGCTGTAACAACTATACAGAGTTGAGTGAAAGTTATGGAATATGGTAGTATAGTAGCATAAATATTATAATAACACTTAATATACTAATTTTATTCAAAGTCCCTTTCTATCACGTGAGCGGTACTGAAGGCAAAAACTAGTATGGCATACAGCCAACATTTATTTTTACTGATTTCATAAAAAAAACAGCTTTAACGGCTTAGATGGGGATTTCAAAGGCCAAGATTTGGCATATAATGCTAATGCTAACTTAAGCTAATTATTAACATGAGTTCAAACGATATGAAGATAAAGTAAATATAATAAAAACTCTACTACTCCATAGATTTTAACGAAGTATTATATTTCTTTTAAATTTTAAAAGAAAAACCAATGTGTCATCGTTAATTCAAAATGGATTCCTCTTTTCCAAACTAACAATAAGTCGCTAAATTAAAGCTTAACTCTTAACTATATACGTTTGACTTTAAAAGCAAAATTAAGTTACTACAATCAAAATTGAAACACACAACTGTGTCAATGAAGGGATGCGATAAGGCTATCACATCCGTCCGTTGAAACGCCTTAAAAACTTCAATTTACATAGAAATCAACAAATATTGCTTTGTCTTTTCAATTATATGATCTATATAATCATCTATACAGATAGATAAAATTGAAGTGTCTGTTTGTAATGCCAAAATAACAGCTTTTTACTAAGTACATATGAAAGTACTAGCGACTCTCGCTTCGCTCGGATTTGTCCCTAGCTTGATTCCCCATACAAACTTTCGTCTCCATTTTCACCCTCCTAAGGGATGATGTCCGGGATAAAAAGTATCCTATGTCCTTCCCAGGGTCTCAAACTATCTTCTTACCAAATTTCATCTAAATCGGTGCAGTAGATTCAGAGATTACCCCCTACAACGTCACAAACTTTACCTCTTCATAATATTAAAATAGATATAGTACAGATATACGGTACTTATAAGAAAAACAAATTATATTTAAATTTTTGTCTGTCAGTCAGTTTGTTCTCGCTAATCGCCGAAATGGCTGCACTGATTTTGACGGAACTTTCACTGGCAGATACCTGATTTTATACGGAGTAACTTAGGTTACTTTTATTTTAGAAAAAGAATTAGGGTTCCACGAAAAAATCCATGAAATTGTGAACAAAATCCGCATACCCAAGGGAAGCGAGGATAAGTCGTAAGGCTTTCATACAAGATAGTCTACAGTATAAAGTAAGCTAATATATATATATATATATATATATATATATATATATATATATATATATATATATAGACTATATACTATTGTCGATATTATCAACAAAAAAAATGATAAATAATACTGATAAGTAACTAAAGAATATTAGATCATAGTTTTATATAAAAATAAGTCATTTATTTACATTAAGACACAGCACCACCTAGTTTCATGGTAAGCTACGAGGCTTGTGTTATGGATACCAGATAATTGGTACACTACACAAATATAACTATAAATACATACAAGTACAAACATTCGTGCTCATCACACAAATGAATGCCCCCAGCGGGACTCGAACCTGCGACCGTTGGCACGTGGTAGGGCCACTACTAACTGAGTCAAACGTGTCGTCAAAATTGTATAGACTGTTGATTTGGCTTCTAACTACATAACACCCGAATCATACTTAAGTGTTCTTAAGTCCTTTCATCTTATCCCACAAAGGAGATAGTTAGAGGAAAATAAAATAAAATATCAGTTCGTTTTACTATTTCTTTATAACCAAGCTTTTGGTATGGTTTCATAGAACTAAATTACACCTTTGATATTTCACATGAAGGGTACAGGCAAAGAACAGGGAATGCCCTAATGAATAGATTATGAAGAAAAATCAATTAAAAATTTAGAAGTTATAGTATTTTTATTGAAGCCAAAATATGCAGTAATTGTTAATTTTGTCCAGTTTTGGACAATCCTTCTTATTTACCGGTATGACATGGACATTCCCAGTTCTTTTCGATTTGGGCATAGACAAAAACATATTTTAAGCGACATTGGTTGAGTATTTATAAAAACCAGTGGTTGAGAATTCAATTACCATAGACATAGATTTGTTACCAGTACAAAACAAAAAAAAAAGAACAAAAATTATGACACTCCATTTTTTTTGCCTGTACCCTTCATAAGCCTTTAATATATCTATGTGCACGCTATAATAAAGTAAAAATCATAATTTATTAATATTTAACAAATTTCCAACATATATTTCCTCGAATAACGTTGAAATTACATAAACAATTCACTGAATCATTATTAGAAGTACTCATTAGTCATTTTAATTTATTTAGTTAAATTATATGGAGAACAAAACGGATCTAACATCCTGTTATTGTTGTATTGTAGACCTACTTTCCTCTTAACTTAGACGCTAGTTAAAGCTTAGATGCAAATTGACGTGAATGGCACCCTTTTAGTGTCACGTCTTGCGTCTGTCAATCTGTCGTGACGTTTTATAGCTTGGATATAAATTAAAGTAATTATACATAAGAGATAATGTAAAATGACACGTAACTTAAAAGGTAACGAATAACTTATGACGTTTATAGTCGAAAATTATCTAGCTTTGTATCTACATTTGTTATATTTAGAAGAAAATTCAAATGTATTATCATTTATGAACTACACCATGGATGAGCTTTTAAGCTAAAAAGTACACACAGTACAGTTACATATAGTTAACTTTATGTTACTAACCTATTTTTGCTTAAATGTTCTTATTTAAAATGCTGTAAACTATTCAAAAGCAGGGGCGTTGCTTGTAAGACAAAATATGAACAAGTAGACAAAAATTATTTACTTCAGTAACATTGTGTCAATTTGTGCTACGTACGGAAATCAAACCCGGACTTACAAGGAAATCTATTCAGCGATTCTAGCAATTAATCTTACTTCACATTATTATCTGCACTATTGATAAGAGGGCTGCTAGCTTAGACAAAATGGCATTCTACAAACGATATCGCTAATAGAATGAAAAATGCAATATTAAATCACCAATCGAAGCAATATCCATTGTAGATAGCTAGGTCTTGTCTGTTTTGTTTCTTATATATTTTAGAATAGATTTAGTTTCACTATATATATATATATATATATATATATATATATATATATATATATATATATATATATTTCTTGTAAATAAAGAACTTAAATTTACTACAAATACTCAAGTTTGTACATGTGTAAGTTTGTTACAGTGTCCTTGTGTGAAGTGACTTTACAGATTTGAATGAAATTTATATAGGTATATATTTATTATTAATTTATGTATTTGTTCAGATAGATTATGATATTATAGAAACCTGGAGTAACACGTACTGTTAGACCCTAAGTGGGGGTAAGTCATTAGTATGTTTGATATATTTAATGATAAACATACCCATAACCGTCCGATCTTCGAATCCGACACCCATTGGAACCTCCTCCTCCATGCTTGACTCATAACCACTGCACTTTAAATTATCATTGACATACATTCATTATCGCGTTACACTCTTAATATATAAACGCATGCGTGTATACACTTTGCAAACACTTGCACTGTTAACTTAGAAAATTCACTTCGAAATAAGCTTCACATCTAGATGGAATATAAACAAAAAATTAATCTGAGTTTTTAACTTAACATTGGATGACTGGTAACAGTTATTTTAATTTTGATTATAAGGAATTTCATTAAAACATACTATTTTAAAGTTTTATTCGTATTAAAGCCAGACGTCTAATATAATCAATGATAGAACAACAACTGAGGTAAATATAACAATATTGAGTCAATGTTAACAGAAATCTAAAAGTAAATAGTGAATAATGCTGATATGGGTTTATTGGTAAGACTCAATGCCTTACTCTTACAAGTGGTTTCTGTATTAATGAGTGGGCATTAAGTGTATAAATAAATACAATGGATACTTTGTATTTTTAGATTTCAGACATGAGATATTTTCTCGCAGTAAAAAGTATCCTATATGTTGACCCAGATAACCAGCTGTCATCATACCAAATTTCATCAAAATCTGTCTAGTGAACTTTTCGTGAGACGGTCACAGACATACAGACGAAAATTCTAAAAACTATATTATAGGTTCAGCCTCAGTATCGATGATAATTTCTATTGGAATAAGATTTTCCATAAATCATTTAATGTACAGATTCGGTTTAGTTAGAATTTTATTATATGTACGAGTATAGATATAAGTTTTTATTTAGTCTGCAGTACATAGCTATGTACTCCATATAAAAGCGCACAGACTACATACGTAGTTTTAGCACTTTGAATGTACATATTCGAGCACTTGCAATATCGCTTTAAGTAATATTAGTACTTAAAAAGAA